AAAAATAAGTAATACTTAAAGGTCTAAATAAATGAAAGAGTATAGTCTATTATGTTCATGAACTAGATGTTTTCATATTGTAAAGAGGGCAATTCTCTTAAATTAATTTACAGATTCAACGCAATGTCTTGAAAACCCTAGCATGCTTTTTCAAAAAATAGAAATCTGTCACACTTAAAATGTCAGTATGCAGAGAGAACCATTATTATTATGTTGTTGTTGTTGTTATGTGCCGTGAAGTCAGTTCTGATTCACAGTGACCCTGTACAGGGTTTCCAAGGAGTGGCTGGTGAATTTGAAACACCGACCTTGCAGTTCAAACCAATCTTGAGGTCCAGGGCTTTAACCCACCGTGCCAAACCAGGACTCCATTATAATCATGTTGGTGTACAATTTCATGATGTTCATAGTTGCTGTTGAATTGATTCCATGTGTTAAGAGTAGAACGGTTCCATAGATTCCCAAGGCTGTGGCAGATCAGTAGTGCTGACCAAGGTATGTCTGGGTGGGTTCAAACTGCCAAACTTTCAGCTAGTAGAGTGTTAACCATTTTTACCACTGAGGGCTCCTGATTATAACTTTAAAAACAACAACAAAAAATACATATATATCCCTTTTCCTTATTCTACGCCTTTATTTACTGAGTTATAATTCATAAGCAGTAAAATTCACCAATTTTAATCACAAAATTCAATGAGTTTTGACAAATGTATACAGCTGTAAAATCATCACCACAATGGAATTAGACAACATTTCCATCCTTCCCAAAAGCTATCTGTGTCTCTGCAGTGAATTCTCTTCCCCAAGTCCTGGTTCCAAGCAGTCATTAATTTATCTTCCCCAAACTATAGACTAGCCTTTCCTATAATTTTATAGAATGGGAATCACGCAGAATGCAGTCTTCTTTATCTAACTTCTTATACTAGGTAATGAGCAAGCTACAACATGATGAACATTTGGCTAGTATGCATAAAACTTCTATGGGGAAAAAAAAAAAAAAGCAAAAGATTTTGTGTGAACATAGTTTTTGTTTCTCTTGGGTAAATACCTAGAGGTGAGCTTGCTGGATCCTATGGTAAAGTTTAACTTTGTAAGAAATTGCCAAACTGCTTTCCTAAGTGGCTATATCATCTGCATCCCTATAGCAGTTTCAATTCCTCTACCAATCAAGATTACCAATGCTTGATATCAGCAGTCAAATAGTCATTTGAGAGTTTTAAAAGAGAAGTTTTGAGATATAGCTCATCTATCATAAAACAAGAATTCTGGGGTGGCACTCCGGGTTAATGAGCTGGACTGCAAAGTCTGCAAAGTCGGTTTGAACTACAAGATCAGCAGTTCAAACTCACCAACCACTCCTTGAGCTCCTTATACAACAGCGTCGTTATGAGTCAAAAACCAATTCAACAGCACATAACAACAACAACATATGATATACAAGTAAGTCCCCTATTTAGGATAAACTACATTTAAGAGGAGTCCTGGTATGGCGCTGTGGACTAATGCGTCAGACTGTAAAGTCATTTTAACTGCAAAGTTGGTGGTTCAAGCTCACCAGCTGCTCCTTGGAAACCCTATACAGGGTTGCTATGGGTTGGAATAGACTCAATGGCACTTAACAAAAACAAAACATTTAACAAACATCCATTTTTGCTTTTGGGGGGTATATTTTATCATTAGTAATATGTACTACACACACACACAATGTTGCGCTGTGTAAATTTGTTGATGTCATCAGATCTGTCTGTTATGCTTCCAATCCCCAAAGACGATTAAACAAAGATCAGATTGGTAAAGAGATTGAAAAAAAATAAGGCAAATAATAATGAAAATCAAGAGGAAAAAAAAAGGGGTATTTTGACTTGTGTCAGAACTGACATAATGACAGAATGAATCTTCAGATGGCAACCGTGTTTTAAGTCAAGGACTATCTGCACGTCCTTTCTAAAATGAGACCTAATATATTGATTCCGAGCCCTTTTCACATAACAACATACAGAGAATATTTTTCTGTGTCATTAATCTTGGGTATCAGCAAATGGCTTCATAGAATTCTATTCTACTGAAGCTCCAAAATATTCTTACATTGTTGGAAATTATAAATAACGTTATGCTTATATTCTTGAATAAATTTCTGCATACTTCCTCAATTATTCCTTTGGAACAGATGTTATTAAATGTTTGGGACAGAAATTCCTTATATTCTTATAAAATTATGGAGAAGCCCAAAGAGTTCTAAATTATATATAATATTTACTGTATTAGAACTTAACCTGACAAAATTTGAAATATTTAGTAATTTCATGAAAAGTAAGAAAAATCCATGATATGTTTATAGAAATGATATTTTGAAAAAATGAAAAGATAACCACATTAAAAAAAGTGAAAAGGGTATCATCGTTGGACATCTCTTTAACGTCTGGTTTAATAATAGCCACATACTTGTATCTGCTTCTGTTTTCAATCCGTTATGACAGATTACTTTAGTTAAAATGTATACAAAAAATCTGGCCTCAAAGAAAAATACTTGGAAAAGGGAGGAATACTTTAATAATGTTTACAAATAATTCAATTAATTACTGCTGTACAATATTACTCTGTCAGTTGTAGTTTTTTAAAGGTTAGCTGCAATATGAAAACTGAAGAAAGCCAATAAATTTTTCATACTTTGTGAAATCATTTATTTATGAGGGAACGGTTTGCCCAAAACTCAAAACAGGATTACAACAGTTTGTTAATCATTCTTGGAAGTAAAGCTGGTATTTCATGATTAGAACGGCTAGTTCAGCTTGCAATTCAAACAACTACAGAAGTCTTTTCCTGTACTAACCACAGTACCAGCACACAGCCCAGGTTCTTTGTGCATACTCACAGCATGCTGCACGGAATACTAAAAACATGTGCTATCAATGGGCTAGATTTCATGAAACTAATACTCATTAGCGCTTCATCAAAAAGATTAAAAGAGAAAGCAAAAGTAGTCTTTCCAAGAATGAGAGTAGGTGGCAGTGAGGACTAGGAGTACTTGCACGGTGTGACGTCACTACCTTGATGAGCGCTGAGACCCAGTAATGTTACACACCATTGTCATCAGGGCAAATGTGGGCACAGAGAAAAAGTCAAACAACACCTTTGTATTAGAAAGGTAATTTTGACCTTGCACCCCTCTGGAAGGTCTTGAGAGATCCCCAGCAGTCTGCAGAAAACTTTGATAAATTCTCCCTTATGATTAATCAGAGCCTTTGGTTGACACATATTTAATTTATTATGCATACAGTTATACACGTGGTTTGGTGCAATACATGTGATCTTAGTTACTTCCAGAGGGCATAAAACTTACATAGAACAAAAGGGTACTCCATGAGTCTTTTCTAAGCTAGCCTAGTACTCCATGCCAGAAGCAATCACTGTGAGCTGGAACTGGCTTGACAGCACTTAACAACAACAACATAACATTTATTGCCAAAGTACCCCTGAAGAGGGGTTGTTCCAGCTTATTGTCTAATCAGCAGTGTGAAAATGACAATTTACTCACACCTTTTCTTGAAAGGGGAATTATTTTTAAAACTAAATTGTTTTATTGTTTACATCAATTTCTTTGAATTCTAATTACACTGAATTTTTTTTTTTTCATAGTGATATTTTTCTATCTTTGCAAACTACCTCTTTATGGTCTCTGCCCATTTTTTAAAAGGTGTCTGTTAATAATTCATAAGAGTTTTTATGAGAAGGCATGCAACCCGTAGAATATTAAGGTGGTGTTAGTTAACATTTTCACTAAAATGTGTTATAGCTGGTAAGGGGCTCAAGAACATCAGATCAGACCACAACCCTTTCATTGTACAGATGAGGAACCTGAAGTAATTTGCTTAAAGATAGGGTTAGGTTATGACCTAGAGCTTCTGACTCTTTTCTGGATGGGTCGAAGGATACATACCTGGATTCAAATGGATCCTGCTTCTCCAGAGGCCTTACTCTTTTCTTCGTCACTGTCAATTTCGTCAAGTCTATATACTTTGTCTCTCCATTGCTGTAAGTGAACTCAAGAATACTATTCCATTCCCCTTGCACTCTGCATACCACAGTGTTGGTGATGTTATGCTTGACTTCAGCTGTAACTCTAGAAGCAAGAAGAAAATAAAGCTATGTTCAAGTAAGTGATACTGGATTTGCTTCTTAGGCTTCTAAAACCTAAGGACATACCCTGTAAATCCTGTTTAAATTAGCTATACGGCACACTTGCATACATTGGCTAGGAGTCACTTTATTTGAAGTTTGGGGTTTTACCTATTCTTTAGAAAACCAAGTAACCCTAATTTTAAATTTAATACAGAAAGAAGACAAATCAATTAGAAGTAGAAAAATACAAAAGCACATATTAAACCCATTTTTAAAATGTTTTATTGTGAATTATGTGATAGTTTACATGGGAGAACATCAGTTTTACATTCATTCTATCATATATCGTTTCATTGCCATGGTTACAATCCCCTCCATGCATCAACCAACCAAAGGGTATATACCCTGCAAGCCTGCCCCCAGTCATCAGTACACAGCTCCTCTCCCTCTCTGGGTATAAAGTGCCCAACTGCTCCATCTCTCCACGTCATCGTCTCTGCCTCCATCTCTGGAGTCACTGTTTCTCTGAGTAGGGTCCCGCTCTTTGCTCTTCTCCCTTGATGGTCCCAGGGACCTCTGCTCCTAGACTGCAAAGTTAATCACTCCCCTCCTTGCTATAAAATGTCTACCTTTACATTTCCAACCCTCACAATCAGTCCTGATAAAAACTATTCACTATTGTATCACAAGAGACCTATTCGCATTTCCTTTCATCAGCCCTGCCTAGACAGATTGGATACTACTCAGTGGAGATTCTACCTTCCTCGACACCCTCTGGACTTAGGTTCCCTCTTGAAAGGTTGTAAGCCAGTCACTTCTTGCCTTTGTAGCCTCTCCCCCTGTTTTGGGTAGCCATTGTCCAAGTTGCCCATCCTTGTCTACTCTTGTATATGGAGGGGGTAGGGATGATCCTTGCTTTAAAGATTTGTTCCCTCTTTTGAGCTACTGAATCCATAAGTGTAGGTCAAGTTCATCAAATTGTATCAGATTACTCTTTTTTTCTTCTTCTTTCTTCATCCAGTCATTGAAGCCAGGACCAGTGGGTATTATCTGCAAGTGTGGGTGTTCTAGTGCATATGCTCTCTCTTCTTATCAGCTGGATGCTTCACTCTCCACTCTAGTTCTCTGTGGCTATTTCACTGACTCTGGGCCCAAGAGTCCCCAGGTCTTGCCATATTACTGGCCAACCAGGTCTTTAATCCATGTTGAGTTGGTTTTTGTACAAGGTGTGAGGTGAAGGTCTTGTTTCAATCTTCTGCATATCGTTTTCCAGTTCTGCCAGAACCACCTGTGGAAGAGACTATAACTTCCCCATGCAATATATTTAGGTGTTTTGTAAAAAATCAGTTGGCTGCATGTAGATGGGTTAATTTTTGGATTCTCAATTCTATACCATTGATCTATGTATCTTTCATTGTACCAGTAGCAAGCTGTTTTGACCACTATAGCCATGTAGGCAATTTTTAAGTCAGGGACTGAGGAGCCTCCGACCTAATTCTTCTTCTTAAGCAGTGCTTTGCTTATCCTTGGTCTCTTTCCTTTCCATATAAAGCTTGTAATTGTTTTTTCCATCTCTTTGAAGAATGTTGTTGAAATCTGGATTGGGATCGCATTATATGTGTAAATTGCTTTGGGCAGTATTGACATTTTCACAATGTTAAGTCTTCCTATCCAGGAACATGGTACATT